GCTCAGTTTTCTGGGCGCGTATCAGTTCAGTGTACGTACTGTATAGGCTAGTAGCAGAATTCATTATGTATGTGTGTAGGTCAGTGTCAACTAAAGGCTCATGTGACCGTCCTCAGTGGCACATAAGGTCAGCCTTCCTCCATTTAATCAGACATTTGGGATTCTTTGTGAAACTTCTTTGTAGGGAACAAAGAAAGCCGCAAGAGTTGCAGCTTGTCCATGCATGCAAGCCTTCAGGGTAAAATCAGATTTGTGACTATATCACTTTGTGATGTTTCTGTGTTTTCCTACCTTGTCTTATGGAGACATATCGCCCATTGGCTGCCATCAGAACCACCTGTGGATGGCTCTCCTCCAGGTCAAACAGTTCATCTTTACCCGGTTTGGAACACCGTCCAGACCTGAGGGTGCCCGTAGGCCCCATGGGAGACAAATACTTCCCCTCGCAGTCTTTAAAGGCCAGTTTCCCACACTTCAGCTCCAGTGTGTATGCTGTGGCCCTCCCACTCTGTGTCAAGAGCTTCCCATCATTGCTTAGGAAGCGGCTGTCGCAGGTCTTAAGGCAGTACTTCCCATCCAGGTAGACAAGGGTCAGGAGCGCTGCCACCCCCCAGGGAATGTTCACATCCACAGCAATTTCCCCATCCTCCATAGAGAGGTGGGCATAACGCTTGCGGGTCACAGACAGCAGGTTGGCCTGCGGATGTAGAGCCAGGTGCACTGCCCACAGCTCGGCATCCGTGATTACCTGGGCAAAGCAGGACAGGTAGTCCCGAGAGCCACCAAAGAAGCGGAGGTGCTGCTCAGACTGCAGGGCCCAGCGACCATCTGATTGAGCCACGATGAGGAAGCGGCAGTCGGAATTGTGGCCATCGGCCTCACAGGTGACTTTGCCGTCCTTGTCAGATGCCAGGTAGCGTCCCAGGTGGCTGCGCAAGTAGACCACCTGGGTGTCCTGGGAGTCCTGCTCTAGAGTCCATATCTGCTTCTTCTTCAGGCTGGGTGCTGATGCATTCACCTGAGAGATGAGAAAATGTTCCAACAGAGAGCATGAAGGCTTTCATCTTATGTGCTACAACAAACCTGGCAATCATTATCCCTGTAGCATCTGTCTGAAAGAGTAAAGCACTGTACAGCTCTTTTATATTGGATGGCATGTTTGTACCTTAAAGCCAAAGGACTCAGCAGTGAGGTAGCGACCCTCATGGTTGATTAGACCAAACTGCAACTTCAAGGGACGGTTCCCATTAGCAGGCATCTTCACCTGTGGATCCAGGAATTCGAGAGACAGATGGAGAACAAGGGGTGAGACAAGTTAGGGATTGGGGGAAGAGTGGGAAAGTTAGGGGTGGGCAAAGAGAGAGGGGTAAGACCTAACATGGGAGGCATGAGTGAGGGAGAAATAAGGGTTTTTCAAAGAGGTGAGGAATAAGGAAGGAGATGAAGTCATGGAGAATGATGAAATGAGAAAGCCTTAAAGACAGGAAATCAATTCATTAAGGTACAGTATATAAAGCACTCCCAAGACCACAAATTCCTTCCCCCGCCCATGGCTTCATTATACATTTTTCCAGCTACAGCCTCCTAATTTACTTACTGTGGTTTTGTGGCTTCCCCTCTGCAGTTTCTGCGGCTCTAATTCCAGTTCCCAGATTTAAGAGGCTTCTTTCACCAAGCGTCCTCTTGTAATTCTTTTTCTCTCCTCTCCTTCTCCTGCTGGCTCTCACGTACTGTTGATCCGGTCTCCCGGCTTCCCTCCACCTCTACCTCTCCTCACCCTAATCAGGTTAGAGGCAGAAAGACTTGAGTCAACCTTGATCTCTCTTTAGACTGGCGTCCGGCGTCAACCTCTCTTTCTCTGTGGACTAATTTTGATCTCTACTGCTTATCTCCACTTCTGCAGTCGACCCTCTCCCTCTCTCTCTCTCTC